AGCTTCTGTGTGATCTTTGACAGTAACTTAATTTCTTTGGGCCATAGTTTCCTCAAGTGCAGAACTCTTACTCTAGTAGGATTGCTACATGGATTACTTTAGAATGTTTAAAACTGAGTGGCACAAAACAATTAACTGTTCCTGCTATTATTTTTATAGCAATAGTATTTGTAAAAGGTGGAACAAGAACTCACTTTTTGCAGTACTGTTCTTGTTGTTCAAAGATTATCATGTCATTCCAAATTTGACTTCTAGTCCTAATATTCAGAACTAAGACAGTCATTTTTTTAAAGATTTATTTATTTATGCATACAAGAGCTGGGGTACAGGCCAACGATGCGGGGGGTGAGAGGATTCACCACAGACAGAGTGGGGAACAGAACAGGCAGGCGGACTGAAATACACTGCTGAGGGGAGCAGCAGGTGAGACGGGAGAAATCTGCTGCGCCATGTGGGTTGCTCCCTGGCTGGCCAGGGATTGAACTTGTGCTGCAGAGGCTGTGGATTGCTTCTTAGTGTGGTGCTTAACCCTTTGCCCCGCCCGGGAGGCCTCCAGAACTAAGACAATCATTTATCTTGACACAACCATCTGTCAGTATCTCTGAACTTAAAGTACTTGTTCTCAGTGTGAAAGTTCAAATATATGAAAATATAATATATCCCCACCCCTCAATTTTTAAAAAATATAGTATGCTAATTATTACATAAAGAAGAAATAAGGAAGTCAATATGAAATAGTGCATTTCAGAGTATAAACATTTGCGCATGACTTTACCAGAAGACATAATGAAGATGCTTGTAATCTACTTGTAATAAGTAAGTTTGGATTTAAGAAAAGTAATGTAAGTTATCTGAATAGTACTACTAACAAGTTTTCTTTATAATCTTTTGAAATAAGGTCAAAATAAGACTGTACATGTAGCTAAAGTAATGTAGGTGTCATCTGCAGATGTCTAATGACTGATACAGATGTGATATAGGCATGATAGGTGGCATTGCTGTTGATATAGAATAACTTTCTGTAATAGTAAACTCAGCTTTTAAAACTTTGAAGGAAAGAACAAATTTTTCCGTTTTTCATAATTGGTGCACCTATAGCAAAGAAATTTTTCATTAATATGGATTTCTGGAGGGGTATTTGAAAATTTAGTTGGGGAGGGTCTTCATTCATCTATTCTTTACCTGTTGCATGAGACCAGTGTTTATCATCTCTTCCTGATGCCTTTTTGTTTGATTATATTTGTTCCCATTTGAGTCTGTCTTACATAATTTTCCAGTATTCAAAATGGGAAACTTTACTTTTCTCAAGTTGGGCTTCTATACTTTAAATGTTACGAGTTTTAGAAGACGTTTATCCTTGTTTACTGAAAAGATAGCCTTTGTAAGGTCAGCCCTGGTATTACAGAATGTATAACCTGGTCCTCTCTTTCCCCCAATAATAGAATCACCCATTTATTATGTTAAAAATAACTGTCAGGGGTACTTGTCATCAAAGGATTTGGGATTGTGTTGTAGCACTTTCACGTAAGTTACATGCATTCTCTTTCCTTCTATTTTTGAGGGTCTGTAAAGGTACATTTCATTACATCTTTTTAAATGTAGGTCGCAAAGAAGCTTCAGGGGTCAACAGTGCCCATTCCCACCAATCTAATCTCCCTCTCACCCTTATGCCCCTCCCCTGCAAAAAAAAAAATTAAATGAAAAAATTCTGTGAATATTTGCCTGTGCACATTTTTCTGGGGCAATATATAGCTTTTATAACGTTCTCAAAAGTTTCTGTGACCTACAGTAGAAGACCAGATGTTTCTTCCTATGCCTTTTTTTTTTTTTGATTATTTATTTTATACAAGAACTGGGGTATAGGACAGAAGCATGGGAGGGTGAGATAATTCACCAGAGCCAGAGTGGGGAGCAGAACAGGCAGACGGAGCAGAACAGGCAGACGAAGCAAAGACATTGCTGAGGGGAGCAGCGGGCGAGGCAGGAGAGGTCTGCTGTGCCATGTGGGGTTCTCCCTGGCTGGTGGGGAATTGAACTGGTGATTCAGAGGCTGCAGACAGCTTCACAGCGTGGCGCTCAGCTGCTGCGCCACCGGGGAAGCCCTTCCTATGACTTCTTGTAGCTATTAAGTTATTCTTATGGTCATGTTCATTAGTACTTGCTGATTTTCCATTTTATCCAGGGACATGGGTTCAGACTCTCTGAACTGTGTACTGGGAACAGTCCTTAATGAGAGGCGTGGTTAGAGTGACACAGTGGAACAGAAAATCTCAAATTCATTTGTTAGGTGGGCTTAAGTAATTTTACTCTTTTCTGATAATGTTAACATGTCAATTAAGCATTTTTAAATTGGGGCCTCCCCGGTGGCGCGGTGGGTGAGCACTGGGCTGCAAAGCTGCCTGCAGCCTCTGCAGTGCTGGTTAGATCCCTGGCTGCCAGCGAGGGTCCCACATGGCGCACAGACCTCTCCTGCCGTGCCCGCTACTCCCCTCAGCAGTGTACTTCCTCAGTCTGCCTGTTCCATTCCCTGCTCTGGCTCTGGTGAATTCTCTCACCCTCCTGCGCTTATGACTGTACCCAGTGCTTGTATAAATAAAATAAAATCTTTTTTTTTTAAAAAAAAAAGAATTTTTAAATTGGTGTTTTTTTCTTTAGACACCCTGGTCATTTTTAGATTGTTTGCATTGCATGTCTAGGACGACCACAATCCTACCATGGGAAATTTATGAGCCTTGCTGGGCAGTATAAAATTTAAGTACTATTTTCAGAATTCATGTTGATGGAAATTGACACAAGGTCATTTTGTAAATCAGTTGTTTTACCTTATTTTGGATAATTGGTATTTTCTTCTGAAATAGGGGAGAATTAAACTGAATTTAAAAAGCTCCTCCCCCAAATAAAAAGCCTTATGTAGTTGTTATGAAAATACAGAGTGGTTCAAAATTAAAATTTTGTGACTTTTTCTTTTCTCATGTTACCAAGAATTTTTTTTTAAATCCATGCTTGTTGCTGATGTTAAAGTCCTAGTTGAAATAGTACTAGAAAAATTTATATCCTCAATTTTCTTTGGTAATTTATGGACTTTGAGACTTTTAAGAAATGGAATCTATGTTTTTAAGTTTGCTAGTTTTAGCAATAGTTAAGCTCTCTAGCCAGCCATTTTGTGGATTCTTATAGTAAAATTAACAGATTGGAGTTTTTCCTTTACTCACATATGCCTATGTAATATGGAGTGGTTAGTCTACTTACCAAAAATGCAGGTAGTTGGGATTGAAAAAAAAGGAAAGAGTGTAAAGTACTATGAAAAATGAGTGATTAACTTGACCATATAATTAAAGCAAACTGTTGAGAAGATTGTACTTTATATACCGTCCCCACATGTATACCGGTTGATTTAAATCAATATTTTACATTAAATTTTTTTCCTGTAACTAGTTTTCTACCTCTATATGTTTTCTTCTAATGTTCTCTCATTTCTCCTTCTCTTCCCAGTTCCAAATTTATTAGAAATTATTTTACAAAGGGTAGGATAGGATAAAATCATTTCACTTCTTAGGGCTTGAAATGAGTAATCTTTTTTTAATGGCCTTGCCTTTGAAATCTGTTCTTTACCTGTTGCATGAGACCGATGTTTGTCATCTCTTCCTAATGCCTTTTTGTTTGATTATATTTGTTCCCGCTTGAGTCTGTCTTACATAATTTTCCAGTATTCAAAATGGGAAATTTTCCTTTCCTCAAGTTTGGCTTCTATACTTTAAATGTTATGAGTTTTAGAAGACATGTATCCTTGTTTACTGAAAAGATAGCCTTTGTAATAATTGTCCTTGCTTTCAGCCTTCTAGCTTATCAAGAAATACGTAACTCAAAACTGATTGTCTTAAAAATCATTTGACGTTACTTTTGGATTAGTTAGAAGTGTGTGGTTATTTTTCACTGGGGCATATTTTTAAGTTTGTCTTTTCTTTCCAAACAGGGTTTATTTGGGGGGCGGGGTATCCATATTAACCTGTATAACCCATCATTAGGTTTTTCTTCACCCAGGAGCAAAAATGGTTGCAAATCTTCCTTTCCCCCCCATTTTAGGACTTAATTAAATTCAGCTAGGACTGGATCTTCTGTGTTCTTTGTTTTGCAATTTTATATTTGGGTATAGAACCAAAGCTTAAATACTTTGTATCTAGAACAGTGCTCATGATAAACACTTTATTAGGTGTGTGAGTGAATTAAACCTTGTTGTGGTAAAGTAGAAACACTGTTGTCAGTGGGTTTATTGTCTTCAGATTTGGAGATTTTTGCAGTTGCCTTATTGGTAAAAATGAATTTGAAGATTGATACTAGTTTACAACACCACTGGAAAATTCTGTCTTTTTAGTAATGTGGTAAAAGAGCTTGTTGTAGGAATACAATTGTGGACTAATTTCATAAAGTGAAACTTTAAAAATACTTTTTTACTTGATAAGAAATAATACATGTTGGGCCTCCCTGGTGGCGCAGTGGTTGTACGCTGGGTTGCGAAGCTGCCCGCAGTCTCTGCAGCACCGGTTCGATCCCCGGCTGCGTCCCTGGCCACCAGAGGAGGGTCCCGCATGGTGCGCAGACCTCTCCTGCCGCCCGCTGCTCCCCTCAGCAGTGTACTTCGGTCCTTCTGCCTGCTCTGCTCCCCGCTCTGGCTCTGGTGAATTCTCTCACCCTCCCGCGCTTCTGACTGTACCCAGTGCTTGAATATATGCAAATAAATAAACAAATAAATCTTTTTTAAAAAAGAAATAATACATGTTTATGTAGAAATTTTGCCAAATATGGTGAGGAATGAAGAAAAAAACAAATTTATCTGTTGCCTGGAGGAAAGTACTGTTATCTCTTGGGCATATTTATATATGCAGGTTTTAATATATACTTTTAAAGAAAACGGAGACTAGGTACATTCAGTTTTAAGTCTGCATTGTGTGTGTGAATCTCATTAAAATTTTTTTCCTGATTTTGTTTTTTAAACCCTATAGGCCCCTTCACAGATGTAGTCACTACAAATCTTAAGTTGCGAAATCCATCAGATAGAAAAGTATGTTTTAAAGTGAAGACTACAGCACCTCGTCGGTATTGTGTGAGGCCCAACAGTGGAATCATTGAACCAGGGTCGACTGTGACTGTTTCAGGTAACAAATCTTGTCTTAAATTTTACAGTTTTCAATTTTGGTATTATTTTATGATTGCCTAATTCGGTTTTACTTAGAGTTTCATATGTAGGGAGAGAAGTTGTTTTTAAATTACTCTGGCTTTACCTTTAATGGTATCCTTCTGATATCTTACTATATGCAGATTCTTGCAGAGAATTTCTCACCCCTGTGATGGAGTGTATGTGGTCAATTCATAAGCATTTGTCAATTAAAAATTTCGTGACCTTCATTTCTACGATTCCCTGATACATTCATTCATGGCCCATATTTTTTTAATCTTTGGAATACTACATCATTTTTTGATCATTCTCATTGAGATCTGTTACTACATATTGCTTAGTTATGGAATTCTATATCTTTTGCTTAAAATGTTCAGGTCCTCCCTTTTTTGATGTCTTTCTGCCTTTCACTGTAAATACCAACAGTGTCCTATATTTGATGACTTAATTATTATTATTCCTTTTTTTTTTTCACCTTGTTGTTCAAGGGGTATCTTGGTGTCTTCCACAGATGGATTGTTCACTCCTGTATGTAGTCTGTGTTGGTGCCATAATTAACACTCTTTGTAAATGGTTCCTTTCTTTCTTCAGATTCTCCAAGTTAATATTCTTCTAATGATGCTATCCAACATAGCTGAGAAATAAGAAACATTCATGAAAACATTTTAGTTATGGTAATCTCTTAAGTCTCACATGGAGACCATTTCCTCTTTATAGAAGTAATTCTCACCTCTTGTATGTGGCACTAAAATGGGGAGCAGGAGCACACATGGCCTCCCAGATCAGAATGTCAGGGTCTGTCACGTAGACATGTGTACAATTAAAAAAATCAAGACATGCCTGGGTGATCCTAATAAGTATTCCTAAGATATTATAGTAATTCTGTATCATGTTTCTGGTTTAAAGCTTGCAGCAGATTAAAAATAGCAAATTATACAATGAGTGAGAGTCTAGAGCAGGTCCATAGGGAGGGGAATATTTAGAGTTATAGAACCTGACAGTAAAGGACAGCCATAGTCAGAGTTCTTGGTAACACTAAATTTTTCCTTAGTGGGCATAGCCCAAAACTCAGAGCTAGGAAACCCCATACAAGATGTTTTTAGTAAATCTTAATGGCATAGTGGTCTGAGAGGAATGCTTTCTCTTGTGTCCAAGTTTTCAGTTCATGGGAAAGATGAATGGGAAATAAGAAGATAAAAGCAGTGTATCCATGCATTCTGAATATTGAAGTAAGATTAAGCAATGAGTAGTACATGTATTCTGTAAGTTGCTGTCTAGAACGTTAAGCCTTTAGTTAGATTGGAAGAAGATAGAATTGTTTCTATCTACATAGTTAAAATGTTTTTGGTACAGTTATAGCCATAGGAATCCATTCAGAATGACTGGATTCAGAATGACTTATTTTGAGGTTTCTAGGTTGCATTAATGTTTCTCAAGAAAATTATACTTTTCAAAGCATTTCTCCCATATAATCCCTTGTATTGAGTACTTATTAAAAACTCCAGACAGTGGTTACCTTTTTCACAGCATGCTTTCAGATTCCTTTCCTCCAGTTAAAACTTAAGCTCTTCTACTGTTAGTATGGCACCTTTCCATATTAAAAAGCCACTCAAATTGCACTTTTTAGCAACTTTCCTTGATTGACTATCTTTACTGATGCTCATTTTTTTTCCCCTTATGGTACTTACTTTTGTGGATTTGATCTTTAAATTTATGCTTATATATATGTTAAGATTATCTTCCTCTTGTTATATGATCATATAACTGTCAGAAAATCGTGATTTTCAAAATTTATTTTTATATAGTTCCTAGTGATTAGCCTACCATGATTGCTCTGTGAACAGAGTACCTGGAAATTTATTGTGCTTTATCTGGATTCTGAGACATTTAGCTTTTGTATTTTCTTTTGTTGTGTATTTGCTCCTTGAAAATTTTTTTTTTAACATCATGGGAGCTGAGGGATTTCTCAGACATAACTTAGAAATAAGATTTTCTTATATTTCTCATGTTTGCTTAATTGCATTTGTCTTTTTGATGCACATATGTATTTATCTATGTAAACCTTAGAAATCTAAATAGTAGGGGAATAATTTCTGCAATATATACACACTTTGTATAATTAATTGCTGATTCATTCTTTATTCAGTCTTGTTAGTTTTATATAATTTAGCATGACTTACAATCACATTAACCTCTGTTAACCTCTTACAGACAACTAAAAATCATAAATGCCTAGGAAAAAAATTGAAGATAACTATTAGAATGTGAGAAAAATTAGAGAAATCTTGAGGCTATTTCTTTATAGCATATGAGAATCAGATTTTAAATAAATTGATAAAAAAACTCTTCTTGACTGGGGTGCTTATTTACAATCTTGGAAAAATTAGTTGTATTAGAACAGTAATATATGGGTGTTGAATTTTTAAGTCACTTAGGATTTTTCCTTTAAATACTCCAGTTGTCTAATTTAAGGTATAACTAAATATTAAAGCTTAAACTTATAACTAGTTTTAATAGACAGTTTGGTAGATTTAAAATCAAACTTACAGGTATTACTAATAATTAATCTTAACAATGTTTTGAAAATTTCCCTTGAATTTAGAGACAATCATGAAGTTAAATTTACTTTTTGATAGCCATTTGTTTACTTTCTTAGCAATCAGAAAGGCAGACAACTTAAAAAGTATTGGAAACCATAAAGTTTATTGTAGGTCCTTAATATAATCCATGGTATGATTTCTTAAACCTTTTGTGATTTTCTTTAATTTTGCATAATAGTGAATGAATAATAGAAATAATAAGCAACAAATAAAGAAGACAGTGTAACCTGTTGTCCTTTCTTCTTATTTAGTAATGCTACAGCCTTTTGACTATGATCCCAATGAAAAGAGTAAACACAAGTTTATGGTACAGACAATTTTTGCTCCACCAAACACTTCCGATATGGAAGCTGTGGTAAGTATAGAAGTTGAATAGTATTTATTTTTGGAAATGTTGTTTAAACTGTGTTTTTGTTTAGTTCTTAATTGAGGAATCTAATTTTTAAAATAAAAATAAATTCATTACAGATAATTTTGACTTTTCTTAGAAATAATGTAGAAATGCTTCTACCTAAAAGAAAGTCCTGTAATCTTCAGACATGTTAGTGGATAGTGATAGTATCTCTTAGGATTTTATAAAAAATTCTCTGACTTTTCCATATAATCCTTGCATACTGAAGAGTGAGTGCAGCAATGTGCCTGTGCTGAGCCATAGCTTTCAACACTACTCTAAGTAATTTTGCTAGCCTTTTAGGTTGTCCCTTATTTTGGTCATGATCATCCCTCCTTTGTCTCATGTTTGGTTTTGTTTGCTTGCAGTGGAAAGAGGCAAAACCTGATGAATTAATGGATTCTAAATTGAGATGTGTGTTTGAAATGCCTAATGAAAATGATAAATTGGTAAGTAGAAAATGTAAAAAACTTGGAAGCCGTTAAGTTCTCAGATTCTTTGAGGTTCATTTTGCTTCTGTTTTTGTCCTTTGTGGGTGTGTGATACACTATTCTTCTTTATAAGATTCTGTGCTCATTTAAGTTTTAAAAAAATTTCATATGTATGCTCTTTTCATTTTATAATATTTGTTGGTTGAAGAATAAAAATAATTATAGCTACAAGCAGCATGGAGAAGAATCATTTAATTTTACCAATTTTTTTGTCATCTAAACCCAATTCAAGCTCTTTTTTAAAGAATGAGGTGTATATATAAATATGGTCAAACAGCAGACAAACTGCTTTTCAGTAATTACATATTAGTGGTCTGAAGATACAAGATTGAATTTACATGTACAAGCAGTTTATTTCAGATTTATCTGTTCCCAGGTGTTGTACTCAATATTGATTTTGGTTAAAATCCATCTGAGTTTATTCCTTAGTAATTTTTTTTTTTTTTTTTTTGTGGGACCCTCACCGGTGGCCGGGGATCGAACTGGTGCTGCAGAGGCTGCGGGCAGCCTCGCAACCCAGCGCTCAACCGCTGCGCCACCAGGGGAGGCCCTATTCCTTAGTAATTTTTATGTTGGTTTTTGATTAGTGTAAGTCAAATACAATTTGGGAGACCGAGGAATATATGTGTATAGTGTAAGAAGTAGTGTACATGAATGTATAGAATAGGTTTGGTTACTTTCCCTCTTCCCCTTCTGAAATGAAAATTTGAATCTTCTTTTATGGATTGTAAGTAGGGTTTTTTTTGGGGGGGGTTATTTTAATGTGTAAAATAATACGGATAATTAAAATTATTTGGTACAATTTGATGTGATTGTTACCTTGATCTAAAGGCTATTTCCTCTGTTGTAAAAGTAAACCTGCAGATTCAGTGCATGCTGAATTGTATTATTGTATTATTCTTTAAGGATAAGCTGATAAAAAATTTTCTAAATGGTAATTAGGTGTTAACCAAATAATTTATTGTATTTTTAATGCCATTTTAAGTGAATTTTGAAATATTTGCCTAAAACAAAAAAAATGTGAATGCGTATATTATTACTGGATAGTGAAGGTTCCATGGTATATTTATGTTTCCCATTTGGAGTCTCTTTCCTTGATTGCTACGAAGCTAATAACTTGCATAGCTCTTACTATTGAAATGAAGAAAACATTACAGCACATTGTCTAGGTTGACTTATTTTCAGTTTTATTAAGATATAATTGAGGTTTGGCACTGTGTAAGTTTAAGGTATACACATACTGATTTGACTTACATACATGTGAAATGATTACCAACAATAAGTTTAACACCCATTATCTCATGTAGATAACAAAAAAGAAAAACAATTTTTCCTCTTGTAATGAGAAGTCATAGTACCTATGCTCTTAACAACTTTCAGATGTACCATACAGCAGTGTTTTACGCTGTATCCGCAGTATTTATTTATTTTATAACTGGAAGTTTGTGCCTTTTGACCATCTTTAGCTCCCACCCCCTGCCTCTCCCAATCATAAATCTGATCTTTTTCTTCTGTAAAATTGTTCCCCCCCCTTAAGTTCTGCTTATAAGTAAGATAGTATAGTTTTTGTCTCTTTCTCTGACCTATTTCACCTGCCGTAATATCCCCAAGGTCCCCATATTGTTACAAATGGTGGGATTTTCTTTTTTTTTTTATGATTCCATTGTGTATATATACTGATTTCTTTATCCATTATCTGTCTGTAGATATTTAGATTGTTTTCATGTGTTGGCTATTGCAGATAATGGTGCTGTGAACATTATCCATAAAAAAGGAACTCCTACCGTTTGTGACAACATGGATAATATTTTTCATTTCCTTTGGATAGTTTCCCAGAAATGGAATTTAGTGGAATAGGGTAGACTTATTTTATTTTTTTTTTAATTTTTTTTTTTTTTAATAGAGGCATGTTTTTATTTATTTATTTATTTGTTTGTTTGTTTATACATGCACTGGGTACAGTCAGAAGCGTGGGAGGGTGAGAGAATTCACCAGAGCCAGAGCGGGGAGCAGAGCAGGCAGAAGGACCGAAGTACACTGCTGAGGGGAGCAGCGGGCGGCAGGAGAGGTCTGCGCGCCATGTGGGACCCTCCTCCGGTGGCCGGGGAGCAGCCGGGGATCGAACCGGCACTGCAGAGGCCGCGGGCAGCTTCGCAACCCAGCGCTCAACTGCTGTGCCACCGGGGAGGCCCGGGTAGACTTATTTTAAAGACCACATTGGGATATTTCCTCATTTAAGAGTTTTTTGGTCATTTTTATAGTTATTTAATAGACACAGAACTGATTTTCCTCTGGACTTCTGATAGGCTCTGAATGGTAGGCAATATGAGATTACATCTGAAAAGGGCTGGAACACATTATTTGATATTGCTGATTAAGAATAGCTCTCTGCTTTGGAAACCAGTAATTGATGGAAATGATATGGCTATGACAGTTGAGCCTAGTCATTTTACCACCTCATAGAGGAGAGTAGCAGGCATGTCCACATATAGGTATAGCCAGTAGTAACCCAAGAAGTAGTTTTGGATCTGTTAGTGCTTGAACAGGTGCAGAATGGAGTTCCCAGAGTCCTTCACCACGCAGAAGTAGTCTGACCCTGGAACCCTTTCAGAGCGGATATTATTAGTAACACAAGTCTGTTTAATTTTTTCCAAGTACTCTAGAGAATATCTGAATCTGAGCCTGGGTCAACTAGCTGCAGAATGTATGTCCACTAATTAAACTACTTGGACTTGTGGTGTAATTACAATTAAATTATAGGGGATATTTGCTAAAGATAATGATCATTTTAAAACATTTTATTTTGAAAACCTTCAAATGCTTAGAGAAAAGTAGACAGTGAAGTGAACCCAGGATAAGCTTTAACAAAGTAAAAATAAAAATCAACAAGTAACTATAAACCAGAGACACACTATGGACACGGGGCGGGGGGTGGGGCGGGCAGAGGAAGGATTAGGGTCAAAATAAGGGGGGGGGTGCAATTGAATGGGGAGTATAACCAAAATGAAAATACATACATTGTACAAAAATGAAAAATGATGTAAGAATTGTATAAAATAAAATATTAAAAACAATTACTACTTTATAGTTAATCTTATTTCATCTAAACCCCACCACTTCCTATCTCACAGACTGTTTTCAGGCAAATTTTAGACATAATGTTTTATTTATAATTATTTTAGTATAAAACGTGGTTCAAAGATATAAAGATTTTAAAAGGGGGGGGAGTTTAATATCAATGCTACAATTAAGCCTTTAAATGCATAGTATATGTATCATTAATACTATCAATTTGGTATTATTAGTAACCCAAGTTTCTAGCATTCAGTTTCTTTATTTTTTGTTAAAGATTTATTTATTTCACAAATGCCATTAGCAACAATTCCCCCCCCCCTCTTTTTTTTTTAAACAGTTTGGGATAGAGATCAAAATAAGGCCCCAATAAACTACTAATTAGATGAGCTCTTTCTTAAATCTCTTAATCTTAGTCACTCTCTGTTTTTGTCTTTACAAATCATTTATTAAGGAAATTGGGTTTGTCCTATATAGCCTTTTCACCACAGAATGGATTTTGCTGATTGCCCCTGTGGTGTCATTTTACTTTTCACTGTCTTTGCTATTCCTGTAATTGAATCTAGAGGCTTGATTAAATTTACATTTATTTTTGCTCATGAGGGAGAGGTAGAACTGCTTTGTAGGTGATATCTCTCAAGGAGATATATACCGCCTGGTTGGGGCTTTTTATTTTAGTGATGTTGGCGGCTATTATTGTACAGAATCTAGATGAGTGATTCTCTACCAGAGGACGTTTGTCAGTGTGGAGCCATTTTTAAAGGGTGTCACAGTTAGCGGGGAGAGGTGATACGTAGAGGTTAGGGATGTTGTTCAGCTTCCTACAATACGTAAGACAGTCCTTACAACAAAGAATTATCTAATCCAAAATGTCAGTAAAATTGCATAATGGTGATGTTCTGTTATTCCTTCTTCATTATATTTGTTAGAATGCATGTGTAGAGAGAATCTGATGCTCATCTAATACTTGGTTATTCATTAAGTGGTAAAGTTGATAAAGCCATGATTAATGCACACATCTTTCTTTTTTAAGTTATATATAAGACTTTCAAAAAAAGAATTGGTCACAAACCTCCCTTTCCTCTTCCCTATTCTCTGCATTGTTATAAATTTATAGATTTAGACATTTTTATATTTTATCTCCTTGTAGTTAGAATCTTTATTGGTGGGCCTCCCCGGTGGCGCAGCGGTTGAGCGCTGGGTTGCGAAGCTGCCCGCGGCCTCAGCGGCGCCGGTTCGATCCCCGGCTGCTCCCCGGCCACCGGAGGAGGGTCCCACATGGCGCGCAGACCTCTCCTGCCGCCCGCTGCTCCCCTCAGCAGTGTACTTCGGTCCTTCTGCTTGCTCTGCTCCCCGCTCTGGCTCTGGTGAATTCTCTCACTCTCCCGCGCTTCTGACTGTACCCAGTGCATGTATAAACAAAACAAACAAACAAACAAATAAATAAAACATGCCTCTATAAAAAAAAAAAAATCTTTATTGGTGCCCAAATTGACTGGTAAGATCCTCTTCATGTTGGTTCCTGAATCTTTTTACCTTAATTTTCTTGATGACTAATATAGTGAGATTTTTCTAGGCCCAGACCTGAAATCAGCCATTTCTTTAAGAGGCCCTGGGTTCTTTCATTGGGAGATTGTATTTTTCAGACCACAATCTGGGCACTGGGAAAAGACAGCGATGTTTAATTTTGTCAGAATTTCTGTCAAACCATCCTCGAGATTAGAATGGAGACTTGTTTTTCATGGTAAAATTTTAATAATAACATGTCAGGAACACATAAGATGATGGCTAACCTATTTCTTGTGGTGGTGATTGCATTTTATGGTTGGAATTTGTTCTTGAAAAATTTGGATGACTCAAAACATGTAAAAATCTCATGTTGACCCTGGTTCAGTTACTCTGAGCCAGGTGAAGTACTGTTCCATATATCAACTTGTATGTCTTGCTAGGTTAGCCATTATGATTCTTGTCCATATTTTTAATTGTTTGGAATTGACATTTCAAGTTTTAGACATACAGCGAGACTTAATATTTCAGTATATTTCTTTGATATTTATATAATTAAAATGTGCCAAAAATTAAAATTGTATCTTATATACAATCTAGATAGAGGTTGCCTTGATTAATGTACATTCAAAAAGAAGAGCTGAAATACACTTGTTTCTGTAAGGTACTGTTTCCCAAAGTGTAACGAATTGAAAAGGTCCTATGATCAAGTGGGTTTGGAAAAATACTACAAATATTGTTGTCTCCCAATAAATAAGCATGCTGCGTATTTGCATATTAAAGGTTATGTATAAAGAGAATGTTTAACCCAGCAGCTCTTTAATTAATTCCTTATAGAATAGCTGGTATTCTGTAAAATACACTTTTGAATTACTGATAGTACCACTTTAAACTCATTCTTGTGGTGTCTCCAAATGCTTAATTCTCCAAATTAAGAAATCTGCATTTTTAAGAAATGTATTTAAATTCAGTGCATCTTGGCACAAACCTGGTTCTTTTTGAGTTGATTTTTCTGATACATTATCGATTTAATGTTATATGTCATCCTTATAGAAAATGTGAAATTTCAGTAACTGAATGATAGAAAATATAATACTTCATTCATGTGATTATAAGGCCCTACTGATAATTGTATTATGCCATTTTTATTTCATATTGTCTATAAAATAGTTGCCAAAACTGCTTAACCAATAGTATCTTTGACAGTATTTATACATAAACCTACAAAATCACTTAACATTCTCTTTTTGTTTATCTACAGTTTAGCATGAGACTTGTCTGTTCAATAATTAGAGCATTATTGAATCTGTTACTTCTAGGTAAAGTTTTCTAGTACCTCAGCTATATTGATAAACTGCAATATGAAGCTAGAATCCTTCTTGATTTTGACAAACTGATTAAAAATGATAACCCCTTATTCAAGTAAAATAAAAACTGATTAAAAAATGGCAATCTTTTGTTCAAGGATTGTATTTCTAAATGGAAAGATAAACAAAAATGTTATGAAAACTATGTTCGTAATGTATATTTTAAAAAGCACCAGGGTACAAAGTGTACTGTTCAGTTAGTTTAGTTTTTAGTAATGTTGGCTGTATAGTGAATCCTTGATATTTTGATCCTTTTTTTTTTTTTGGCTTATTATGTTGTAAAAACCATGTTAATTCAAGCAATGTTCAGTTATTTTAGTAAGTTGTTGGTGACAACTTCCCATTCAATATACAGCCCTCTCAGAATTACATTTACTCTGTAGTTAGCTTTATTCATTGTACACAGTCCACTCTGTATTATGAAATCTAACATCCTTAGTGGCATTGTTTTTTTTTAGGATTCAATACAATTTTACTAATTTGTGATGTTTTATCACCTATTCAGTTCTTTGTGTTTAGTAATTTATTTTTGTTTATTTTGAAGCCTTCAACTCTGCTTGACATTTTCCAAATTTCCTTATATATATTACATTTTGTTTATGTCTTCATTTAACATCTGTTGATGACATTGTCTGGGAAAGCGTACTGATTTATCTTAATGAAGACTAAAGGGCTGCCGAGAATAGGAAATTTCAGAGGTCTTACCTATAGAGATGATTTCTGATTAAATACGTATTTTATGTTGAAACAAAGAACAGATTGGGAAAACTGCGTTTTTAAGGTGGGGTTTTTGTAGTCACATATAATCATTTGGATCTCAGTAAATGTTAAGAGTCTATTCCAATCTTTTTATGTAATATTTTTTTCTGTATTAAAGCATATTTGAGATGATAGGAAGAGACACTATGGAAATAATATGTTAGAATGTTACATGTGCTTTTTAAGTTTGTTGGTCTTGAGGGAGTGTGTATTTGTGTGTGTGTGTGTTGGCTGTTGTTGAGATAAGAGTTTTAAAATCATTGCTTTTTTTTAATCTTAAGGTGATAAAAATTTGTTTTAATTGTTGAGATTGAGTGTTATCAAAGTTAGGAAAATATGAAGCACTCATTTTTCAGATATTAACAAGTTTTAATCACAAATCAAGAACCCCAAGGTTAGAAGTTATTTGTTTTAGGATAAACCAAGGCTAACATAAATAAGGTTTAATACATTGAGTGAATGCAATACAAGTTTATTATAGCAAACTTTATTTGGGAAATAATAGAAAAATAGTTCTGAAAGTTGTACTTTTTGCTTTGACATAGCTATTACCTATTGGTATTTCTTATGCATAATGCATTTTTATAGAATAGAATATGAATGTTTTAGAGTTCAGTGATTTCTGTTTTAGTCAATCCCAGTACCATGCAGGAAAAATCAGAATTTGGTGTGAATCTGAGAATATGTTTCCCATGCCATCTCAGGGTATAACTCCACCAGGGATTGTTCCGGTTCTCACTTCATTGAACAGCATGAACAACACAGTTGCAACACCTGCCAGTTATAATATGAAGAATGAGCCCAGGGGACTCAGTGTGTTCAAACAGGAGAAGCAGAAGGTTTGTTTTAGGGAGCTAAGAGATAAAGGAGTCTGCTAATGTTACTGGTTACATTAATATAGTTAACCTAGTATATATGTAGTACTGTGAACATGTGCTGTGAACATCCACCATTATATGAAGTGGATAGAATTGAAATTTCAACTGTTTAAAATTAGAGTGGAACTACAAATCACTTAAAAAATCATGGACAAAAATTCTCTATTTCAAAAAAAGTTCAGTACTTAATGAGTGTTACAAATAACGTTATTATAAAGTTGATGTAATTCTTGTCACTACGATTTTGGGCGCATACTCTAAAAACAGATATTTAGAAGCTTATTTGAATAGACTAGCAGACATACCAGTAAAAGTAGGAGCTGGTAAACAGTTGTTCTCCAGGCAAGTAATTGTGTTTAGGTTGGGAAAAAGAGATGTTAATACTATTTTATTTTTTATCAAGTACAAATAATGGTAATCCCTCTTTAACTGTCATTGTAGTTATTTCCGTGCCTCAGGGTATCAGAATTTATGGTCAAAGTCCTTAAAATCATAGGTCATAGTTGAACTTAATATTTTCATATGCTTGTGTGTATGTATGTGTGCACATGTATGC